TTCCTTCCTTCCTTCCTTCCTTCCTTCCTTCCTTCCTTCCTTCCTTCCTTTCTTTTTTTGTATGAGACATGTTTTCACAACATGAGACAGCCTTGGCTGAGCTAGTTTGGAACTCACTATGTAGACCAGAATGGATTTGAACTCTTAGGGATCAGCCTGCCTCTACCATCTGAGTGCTGGCCTTAAAGGTCTATGTCACCATGCCCTGGCCCCAGCTGGTTTAAGAAGATAATTTGGGGTGGATGAGAGGCAAGAAGGTTCAGAGGATAGAGGTGCTTGCCCACAAACCTTACAACCTGAATTACATCCCAGACGCCACAAGGTGGCAGAAGAGAACCGATTCATAAGAGCAGTGTCTGATTTCTACATGTGAGCCACGTCATGTACACTTGCGAGCATGCGCGTGTGCACCTACACGGATTGATAGACTGACTAATAGGTAAATGAATAAATAAAGTAGTTTGAGGACTGGTGTGTCTCAGCAGCAGATCTCTTGCTGAACATGCGTGAGGCTCTGGGTACACCCTAGATCTGGAAAAAAAAAAGCTGTCTACGGTTTCAGAAGACTTTTTATTATTCCGTATAGACTTGTCTTGTTTTTATTTCCAGCCACAAAAATATTGCATGGTGTGACTCGGTACTGTTCATCCGGCCAGCCACTAATGACGTATGGCCTCCAAATTAAACTATAACAGACATGGCAACACACACCTGTAACCCTGGTACTCAAGAGGTTGGCACAGGAAGAGCACGGGTTTGAAGCCACCATGGGCTGTACAGTAAGACCGCCTCAAGAGGCAAATGAACAAAATAGCAAAACAAAGAAATGACCACTAGCCTGGCATGGTGGTGCACATCTTTAATCCCAGTCCTGGAGCGGCAAGGCCTCTGTGAGTTCAAGGACCGCTTAGTTTACACAGTGAACTCCTTGCCTCCCATGGCTACATGGAATTCCAGGAGTTTGAGGCTGTGGGGGATCAAACAAAAGGTCTTGTCTACCTTGAGCTATCCCAGCTTTCTTTTTTCTTTTCGTGGCTTCCTTCATTCCTAGCTCCCTCTCTTGCTTGTGTTCTTGCTCTCCTGGAGACAGGATCTTACCATGTAGCCTAGTTGGTGGTGTGGGAGGTCCTTCTGTCTATGTGTTACTTTTATTGGTTAATAAACAAAAAAACTGTTTTGGCCTATAGCAGGCAGAATTTAGCTAGGCGGGGAAAACTAAACTGAATGCTGGGAGAAAGAAGGCGGAGTCAGAGAGAACTCATGTGCCCCGCCGGAACTTCACTTTACCCGGTAAGCCACAATCTCTTGGTGATACACAGATTAATGAAGATGGGTTAATTTAAGATATGTGTTAGCCAGAAATGCACTTCAGCTATTGATCAAACAGAATTGAAATAATATAGTTTCTGGGTGGTTATTTGGGGTCTGGGCAGCTGGAAACAAACAAGTGACCTTCCTATAACAAGCTTGTCTTCAAACTTATGGTATTCCTACTTCGATTTTCCAAATACTGGAATTATAGGTGTGAACCACCACACTGAATGAACTGCATTTAAAATTTTTTCCCAGAGGGCTCAGTAAGTAGCCTAGAGAAGCTAGGGTGATGGTCTTGTGCCACTATCTTCTGTTCAGGTCTCTTACATTGGCGGAACTGGGGAGACTGCTGAGATGTCTCAGGGCTTAAGAGCCCTGGCTGCTCTTGTAGAGGACCAGAGTCCAGTTCCCAGCACCTACATGGAAGCTCACAACCATCTGTAGCTTAGTTTCAGGGGATCTGATGCCCTATTTGGGGCACCAGGCACACACATAGTGTATAGCTATAGAGGTAGGCAAAACACCCATATGCATAAAATAAAATTATTTTCTTTTTTAAAAAAGATTTATTTATTATATATACAGTGTTCTATATGCCTGCAGGCCAGAAGAGGGCACCGGATCTCATCTTGGATGGTTGTGAGCCATCATGTGATTGCTGGGAGTTGAACTCAGGACCTTTGGAAGGGCAGTCAGTGCTCTTAACTTCTGAGCCATCTCTCCAGCCCCCATAAAATTATTTTCTATTATTATTATTATTTTGGTTTTTCGAGACAGGGTTTCTCTGTAGCTTTGGAGCCTGTCCTAGCTCTTGTAGACCAGGATGGACTCAAACTCACAAAGGTCCGCCTGCCTCTACCTCCCGAATGCTGGGATGAAAGGTGTGTGCACCACCACTGCCTGACATTAGTTAAAATTTTAAGATCAAACTTGTTCCTGGCTTACATTTTCCATCTTCATGAAGGATTAGGGTTGCCATGGCCACACAGATGCACAGCATCTCCATACACTAAGCTCCTTAATAAGCACTTGTGTCTTGTTTATTTTCATTCACTTATTTAATTTTATGTTTACTTACATATTTATGTAATTCTATGGGTGCTTTGCCTCCATGTATGACTGTGCACCACGTGCATGCCTGATGGCCACAGAGGTTAGAACGGGCATCAGATTCCCCTGGAACTGGAGTTACTGATATTTGGAAGCCTTCATAGGGGTCCTGGATAATCAAAGCTGACCACTGGGCTATCCGTCCAGTCCTACTAGCGCTTGTTTCAATGGACCAAAATTTAGACACACACCCCTTCCTGTCAGAATTTGGGTGACTTTAATAATAATTTGCTACTACAATCCAGGAAGTGGAAAAAGCTTTTATTTTTGTTTTGTGTTGTTCTGGGGATCAAACCCAGGGCCTTCCAGGCTTTGTGACTACTTACCTACACTCCAGCCCCACAAATAATAAACCCCTGTAACTCCAGCTCTAGCGGCTCCAACGCTTTCTTTTGGCCTCCGTGGGCACTTACACTCACAGGTACAGGCTCACACACAGACACACTCTTACACATGTTCAAAAATTAGAGGTGAATGTGGTGACATGTGCCTTTAATCCCAGCATTAGGGGTACAGAAGCAGATGGCTTCCTGAGTTCAAGGCTCTCCTGATCTACATAGTTTCATTCCAGCCAGGGTTACTAAGTTACTACTAAGAGAACCCCTGCCTCAAAAAAAAAAAAAGTGTGTCTGGAGGAAGCAAAACAAAATGAATCCCATACCTAGTCATACCTCCATGACTTCTGCCACCTCCACAGTAGTCACTGGTCCCTGCACCCAGGCTGGCTACACAGGAGCCTCAAGACTTTGATCCTTGCTTATCTGCTTGGAAAGTAATGATGTCCGTGATAGCTTTACCTTCAATGTCAACTCGTGTGTCCTCGGCTAAAACAAGGACCTTGCTGATTATCATTCTTGGCACAGACGCTTCCAATGTGGAAACCGTGTCTGGACGCAGGTCTCTGCAGGAGGACTTTGGCTCCCGGAGGGCGGTTCATGTTGACCCATTATCTCCTGGCAGCCGGTAGGACTGTGCAGAGGTAACAGGACTGCAGGGAACTGTCTAAGGCTCAGACTATCTTTAAAATGGTGTGTGTGTGTGTGTGTGTGTGTGTGTGTGTGTGTGTGTGTGTGCGCGCGCGCGCGCGCATTTCAGTTGGGGACCTTGTGCTAAAGCCTGAGCATCTTATTGGCTTGAAGGGACTAATGAGGTGCTTCCCTTTCATGCCTGCCCTTGTATGGAGTGGCTGACAGTCCAACTCTGTCTACTTAGCCAGACTGTATGACAGAAAAATCACTATGGTGCACTCCTTTAGTCTCAGCACTTAGGAGGCAGAGGCAGGGGGATCTCTGTGAGTTTGAGACCAGCCTGGTCTACAAAGAGAGTTCCAGGACAGCCAGGGCTGCACAGAGAAGCCTTGTCTTAACAACAAAAGTCACGATGGCATCTGTGTCTTCAGCACCACCGTACTCATACTGCCCGGAGTGGAGAAACATCTGCCCATCATGGGAAGAACAGATCGGAATGTGGAGCTCGGCTACCTGTCCTGTGCAGCCTTAATTGTCATTGTGACATAGCCTAAGGCTATCTGAGTGGAGTCACAAAGGAGCAATTGCCTGGATCAGATTGGCCTGTGGACCTGCTTGTGGGGCGTGGTCTTGGTTGTTAATTGGTGTAGGAGCGCCCAACCCACTGTGAGTGGCACCATTCCCTACACGAGTGGTCCTGGACTGTTGTAGAATATTATTTTAAGGTTGCTTTTGTTTATACTCTGGAACATTTATTTAATGATACAAAGATGCATTTGATTAAATAAAATTCACCTGTAGTCAGGAGGCTGCTGCTAGCTGACACTGGTAGGGAGGAGCCAAGTGGAGAAGGGATTTTAAGGAGGGGCCAGGAGAAACAAGAGCACTTTTGGAGAGACTCAAGGAGAGGAGGTGAGCTGTTTGCTATTCAGCCTCTCTGAGAAGCAGAACTCCACCTAAAACCTTGACTCTCAAGTTCTTTAGAGGGACAGAGGTTTAATTAAATTCCTTGGTAGTTTTGAAAGAGTTGGTGCCTGGGGGAACAGAATTCCTTCAGGCCACAGGCCTAACCACTGCTGATAGTGGCGGAGTTGGAATTGCTGGTTCGGACAGCCATGGATTAAAAGGCAGCAACAGTTGCAAAAAAGAGGACAATACTGAACTGCACAAGAAAGCCAGCTGAACGTGAGCCTGTGAGTGAGCCAGCATGCATCCTCCTCATGGTTCCTGCCCTGACTTCCCTCAGTGATGGCCTGTGACTAGAATGTACGAGCACTGTGAACTAAACCCTTCTCTGTCCTAAGTTGCTTTCCGTCAATGTTTAGACAACAACAGAAGTAAAGCCAGGACCTGCCCCATCCCTACCTCTCAACCCATAGTCCCTGCCTGTTTCTTGTAGTGCTGAGGGAACCCAGGGCCTCATTCACGCCGGACCAGTGTTCCACCATTGAGCCATGCCCCGGTCCTCACTCGCTCTTGAAGGGAAAGACATTTGACCCGGGTTGCAGTGGCTAGACCTCCCGGGCACTGTGCTAATGAAGTAAGCTCCTTTTGGAGGGACACAGCATGAATACATACCTGGCATCTGGAGCACTCAGCTACTGAAACAGGGTGGGGGGGGGCTGTAGTTGTGGAGTGGGAGGCTGTTTCAGAATGCAGGGCTTGGAAAAGTTCTGGGGATGAATGGTGGGAAGGATCACGGATGTGACTATCCCTTGAAATTATCCACTGAAAAGTGGGTTAGATAGTTCAGTTCAGTGATTCTCAATCTGTGGGTCACGACCCCGAATGACGCTTTCACAGGGGTCACAAATCAGACATCCTGCCTATTGGATACTTACATTCCAATTAATAGCGATAGCAAAATTACAGTTATTAAGTAGCAATGAAAACAGTTTTATGGTTTTGGAGGTCACCACAGCATTAGGAACTGCACGTATTAAAAAAGCGTCGCAGCATTAGGAAGGTAGAGAACCACCGTTTTAATTAACGGAAGACAGCCTGCTGAATGCTGTGCAGATCTACCACCCCAGCCTCCGTTGGAGTCTCTGCATGCTCACGGCCAGGAGGAGAAAGCCATAGGTCCTCTGCAAGAGCAGCCAGGGCTCTCAAGGGCCATTGGCTGAAGGAAGTTCCCCATCAGCCTCTTCAACCTTTTTGACTGTGATGGGCAAGTCACCTCTGCTTCAGTGTTTCTTACGCCTCTCTGGACTCTTCAGTTTCTATTGGCTACCAGGTTCTCCTTCAAAATGGCCTCCTGAGCTGGGCGGCAGTGGCGCACGTCTTTAATCCCAGCACTCAGGAGGCAGAGGCTGGCGGATCTCTGTGAGTTTGAGTCCAGCCTGGTCTACAAGAGCTAGTTCCAGGACAGGTACCAAAGCTACAGAAAAACCCTGTCTCAAAAAAACAAAACAAACAACAAACCAAAATGGCCTCCTGGTTCTTGGCCATCTTTTCGCCAGTGCCTACAGAAGATCCCATGAGGTTTGGCATCTCAACAAGCCCCGCCCCAGGCCTCCCAACAGCACCATTTCCCAAGAGAATCGGAGGTTGTCCTATCTGTCTTATGCCCTCTTCCCTGTAGCCTGGCTTTATTTCTTCACCTCCTTAGCTCTGAGAGGATTAAAGTGTGAAACTCAGTACCCAGTACCTGCCCACCCCGCCCTGCCTCGTGCACTGCCTTTGGCTTCTCCTCCTCTCCCAACAGGAACAGACTAGATCCCGCCTCAGGCCCTTCGTGCCTACTGCTCTACTACCCAGGATGCTCTGCTTTCCTTGGTGACTTCTCAACCACTTAATTTTGTTTCTGATTTCACTCCCTCTTGACTGGGTGTGGTGGCACATGCCTTTAATTAGGTGGGGCTCAACGACACTGAGGCCAACCTGGTCTACATAATGAATCCAGGCCAGCCAGGGCTATGTAGTGAGACCCTGTCTTAAAATAACAAACAAACAAACAATAAACCAGAAGCCTCACAGATGGGCTATCACCTGGACCTTGCACCTTTATTTGTGCAATGAGACTCTTCTGTTTACTTTTCCTCAGAGTTCGAAGACTTTAGATACTCCTGACAAATCTTGCCATCCTTGTCTTTTTATGACTGGTTTATTTGCTTTCCCTTACGGTTCATCTACCACTGTAGCTAGTGATAGTGTTTCCTTCCTTTTCAGGGCTGAATAATATTCTACAGTGTTGATAGGCCATATTCTCAGTCACCAGGCGGAAGTCTCTTGGGTTGTTGTTACTTTCTGGGCCATGGACATGATGAACAGATATGTCTTTGAGACCTTACATGCTAGACTCTGTCCCTGGGGGAAAAAAAGACAAAGATTTATTTTGCTTGTGTTTCAAAGGCTTCTGTTCATCATGAAAGAAGTGTGAGGCCGGGCAGTGGTGACAGTGCACACCTTTAATCCCAGCACTCGGGAGGCAGGGGCAGGCAGATCTCTGTGAGTTTGAGACTAATCTGGTCTACAGAGTGAATTCCAGGACAGGCTCCAAAGCTATAGAGAAACCCTGTCTCCAAAAAATAAAATAAAAAGAAGAGAAAAGAAAGAAAAAGAAAGAAGTGTATAGGCAGCAGTTTCAAGGCAGACAGGAAACAGTGACAGGAAGGGCCCTAGGTAGATATGTCCCCCCAAGGACATGTGTGTCCCAGGCATTTGGTTCCACCAATCAGGCCCTGCCTCCCAGAAGTCCTTTCAAACTTTTGAGTCCATCCATGGGTTAAATGTCAGACCTTACCAGCTCTGGAAACTCCCTCAGGGACACACCCAGAGGTGGCTTCACTAATCTCTTAGGCATTCCTTAATCCAATCAGTGCAGGTGACCAGTCAGGATCAGCTGTGGCACCTGGTCTCTAGCGCTAGAATTGTGTGACCAGAAGGGATAAAAAAATCCTTGCAAAACATGATGTTTGAGCTGAACCCATGAGACAGGGGATGGGAACCAGCATACTGAGCATGTGCAGGATGTTTTCTTGGCATCAGTCCATAGCCCAACGTGCCAACTGTTTGTGTAGCAGCTCCACGGTGTCAGGAAGAATAAGCAGACGAGATGTGAACAGAAGCATAGAAGGGGACGTGTAGGACTAGCAAGAGGGCTCGTTGGGATCACTGGACACATCTACAGATGCTTGCCACCAAACCTGATGGCCTAACCTCCATCCCTGGGACCAGCATGGTGGAAAGAGAGAACCAATTCCTGAAAGTTCTCTCTCTTTTGGTTTTTTTGAGATAGAGTTTCTCTGTGTAGCCCTGGCTGTCCAAGAATTTGCTCTGCAGACCGGGCTGGCCTTGACTGTGCAGAGACTCACCTGTCTCTGCCTCCCGAGTGTACACCGCCACCACCTGACCTGCAAGTTGTTCTTTGATCTTCTATATGTGTGCTCCGGCGTGTGTACCCCCCCCCCCACACATACACACACACACACACACACACACACACACACACACATATGTAAAATTTGAGATAGGGTTTCATTATGTGGACAAGACTGGCCTTGGACTCAGATCTGCCTACCTAGGTCTCCTTAGTGCCAGGACTACTAGTACACTCACCACCATGCCTGGCAGGAATACAGTCTTTAAAAAATAATTTATTGTGCACATATCAGAGAACAACTTACAGGAATCGGTTCTCTCCTCCTACCATGTGGGTCCCAGTAATGGAACTCAGGTCACTAGCCTTGGTGGCAAGCACCTTTACCTTCTGAACCATCCCGTCAGCTCCCTACATTCTTTTTGTTTTGCTTTGTTAAGTCAGGATTTCTCTGCAACATCCTTGACCGTCCTGGGACTCACTCTGTAGACCAGGCTGGCGTAGAACTCCCAGGAATAATCCTGCCTCTGCCTCTAGAGTACTGGGATTAAAGACATGTGCTACTATATCCGGCTCTACATCCTTTTATAAAAGAGAACTGAGCTTCCTTGGATCCTGGTATCTGGCATGGTTCCCTGGGGGCACTTACAGCGACCAGCGCTCAGCAGGTCTGAGGACGATCGCACCCTCAGAAGGGACTACTTTGTCAGAAGATAGTCCTTTCTCATCAGGAACACAAATCTTTCGAGACCTCGTGCTCTGGCCTGAGGGTATCTCACAAATTTCAAACTTGGCTCTTCAGGAGGTGATTGAGTCTTGAGGGGAGAGCTCTACCTGAATGGTTTTATGGTTTTGCTGTGTTCCATGGCAAGGAAGATATGAATGGATGTCCAAGGAGGAGCACTTAACTTCTTTCTTTCTTTCTTTCTTTCTTTCTTTCTTTCTTTCTTTCTTTC